ACCCCCAGACCCAGCACCTCCAGGCACAGCACCCCCCGGCTCAGCACCCCCAGGCTCCGCACCCTCCGCAGTAGTACCGTCAGGCCCAGCACCCCCAGCAGTAGCACCCCTAGGCTCAGCACCCCCACGCACAGCACCCCCAGAGTCAGCACCCCCAGGCTCAGCACCCGCAGCAGCACCAGAGTCACCAGTAACCTCGACCGGGTCAACGGCGTCTACCTGGGACACACCTGAGGGGGCAGGAACCTGAGGGGGGAGGGGGTCTACCGGGGGGGGAACCGGCACAAGGAAGTCCGGGGGAGGGGGGAGGGAAGGAGTGCGGTAGGGGAAGAGACGGTAGAAGGGGACTGACTCGTCGAACGTGACGTCCTGGGAGGACAGAACACGACGAGAGGAGGGGTGGTAAAACTGCCACCATGGGGCGTCAGTGGGGAAGCCAAGGAAGACACAGGGAGCAGCACGAGGGGACAGCTTGTCCGCAGACAAGTCGCGGACAAACGCCCGAGATCCCCAGACACGGAACACAGACGCATCGCCAACCTTCCCCGTCCACAGCAAGGCTGGGGACATCGCAGGCCGAGAGACCCGGGGGTGAAGGTTGAGCTGATGCGCCGCGTACCTCACCGCAAACGGCCACAGAAAATGGGGGGCAGCCGCATGCATCATGGACGTACGAGCGACATCCATGACCATGCCAATGCGGCGCTCAGCAATCCCATTTTGCTGTGGTGAGTCCGGAAGCGTGAAGGTCTGGCGGATCCCCCGTGCACGACAGTAGTCTCGCAGAAGGCGAGAAGAGAACTCTCCGCCTCTGTCAGAGTGCAGACGCAGAACAGGAAAGTCCGAGCCGAAGCTCTTCCTGAGCTGGAGACGAGCCTCGCGGATCCAGTCGATCAGCACCTCAGTGACCTCACCCTTGCTGCGCAAGGGGAGGACTGTGGTGTAACGCGAGTAGTCGTCAACCACCAACAGGAAGTAGCGCTCGTAACCCTGCCCACAGACGGGGGCTGGGCCCCACACATCCATGTGAAGTGTCTGCAGGGGAGCCTCTGTCGGGGGGAAGTGGGAGGAGTGAGGAGTAGCCCGGAGGCGACCCTCGACACAGGGGACACAGGAAGGTCCTGGCCCGGAGGGGAGAGGAGGGAGAGACTGGGGAAGACCAGAGACAAGGACACGGGAAGCCATGCTCCGAAGACGGGGCAAGGAGGGGTGGCCAAGACGGTGGTGCCACAGGAGAGTCTCGTGAGACAGGAGGCGACAAGAACAGGGGGCAGACTCAGGACCTGACCGGGACGCAGCAGCAAGTACCTGACCCGACGCAGCCACCTGACCAGACGCAGGGACAGGAGGAGACTCAACGGTCAGGGTGTAGAGACTCGACCCCGGCCGACGCGAGAACGTGGCCAGGTGTCGGCCTGTGCGTGCCTCCGTGCAGTGGGTCACCCGCTGACTCGCAGGAGTGAACTGGTGAACACCCACATCCTGCAGGTCCGCTCCACTCACCAAGTTCGTAGAGAACGAGGGAAGGTACAGACCCGACAGGGTGCCCGAAGGGGCAGCCGGACACGGGAGGACAGTGGAGAAGTGAGACAGGACAGGACCCCCAGAGGGGTCAGCAAGGGAGACTGCAACCGGCCGGCCGAGCGGCGTAAGGGTAGTGCGGTCTCGAAAGAAGGAGCGAGAAGCTCCGGAGTCAAGTGTGAAAGTGAGGGAGGACGAGGACGACGCAGTACCTGAGAGCGCAGTCTCACCAGTACCTGAGAGCGCAGACGCACTGGCACCTAGAGCAGCAGCCTCACAAGCACCTAGCGCAGCAGTACCAATGCCCGGGTCGGGCTGGAAACAACGGTAACCCTCATTCTCCTCACTATAATCCACAACATACATAGCAGTAAGGATAGCATCAAAATCAAGATCAAAGATCGCTACACCAGCCCTGAGAAGCTCATCCCAGCGAGGGATCTCACTAGCCCCAGGGAACTGCTGACGCCAGGCGTCCGTCAGGCGGCCAAAGCAGCGCTGGGTGGCGTGGGCACCCCCACACTGCTCACCCGCGCGGTCGCCGGAACGAAGAACGTAGGTGCAGGGACCAGTACCCCCACCCCTCTGACGCCCAGCGTACCACTCACGAAGCTGCTGAGGCGAAGGGATGTCCCGCGAGCGCTGCTGCTGCTGCCGCTGCGAGCGCTGGCCACCACCACCGCCGCTACGCTGCTGGGTACCACCCCGACCAGCTCCACCTCCTCCACCACCACTGCCTCCTCCGCTGCCGCCTCCACCGCCTCCACCTCCGCCGCCTCCACCTCCGCCGCTGCCTCCACCACCACCGCTGGCACCACCACCACCGTCTCCGCCGCTGCTGCCACCACCACCACCACCACCCCCGCCACTAGTCCCGCCGCCACCCCCACTCCCTCCGCCGCCACCGCCGCCACCGCCACCGCCCCCTCCAGCTCCACCCGCGCCCTTGCCCCCCTTGCCCTTGCTGGAGCGACGTCTCCCACTAGGGGCAGACGCCGCGCCGACCGACTCAAGACCAAGCAGGTCGGCAGCAGCAGCAGAGGCAACAGAGGGCAGCAAGGGGGAAGGAGAGCACCCCTCAAAGATGGGGGTGCGAGGGTCACCACGAGAAGCACCTACAGCGACTATGCTCTTCTCCGCTGCGAGGAGGGCCTTTTCGAGGAGGTCGACGGTGAGGGTGGTGGGACAGACTGCGAGAAAGTGGTCCCTGACGACGCGAAGGGAGTCAGGGAGGCGCGCGACTACGTAGTAGAGAGCGATGTACATGGGGGGGGGGTTCTTAGCGCAGAACTCAGCAGGAAGGGCTGCGCGGTAGCGAGTGTCACTAGTGCGGAGGTGCGTAATGAGGTCAGCAACAGTGGGAAAGGCAGAGAGGTCAGGAAAGAGGTAGGGAAGCATGAGACGGCTCAGTGCAGCAGTGGCAGGGGAGGAGTAGCGCGCAACTACAGCGTCGTACAAGGTCTGAGCACTCTTGTACTGACTGAAGTGCGCACGCTCAGAGGTAGGGAGGTGGCGACGCACAGCAAGACGTGCAGCAGCATCGCGGGTGGCCCACTTAGAGCGGACAGCGGGATCAGCATCAGCAGCAGGAGCAGGAGAGGCGCCAGAGGTGAGATCAAAGAGAGAAAGGTCGTCAGCCCTGTCGCACTGTAAGAACAGCTGCAGGTCGTCTAACCAGACCTCAAAATCAATGGCGCGACCCTCAGCGTCAAAAGCTAGGACACTAGGGGTAGCCATGGCGACGACAGCGACGCAGTGCAAGCAGCAGGGAAAGAGCTCGCAGTGTCAGTGGGACTGTGCTCACCAGGCAGGGCAGGTCGTGTAGGTATGCAGAAAGGCGGCTCAGCGACCTGGCGGCTCGGGTGCAGGGCGGCTCGGCTGCTGGGCGGCTCGGGCGCAGGGCGGCTCGGCTCCCGGGCGGCTCGGCGGCTGGGCGGCTCGGGTGCAGGGCGGCTCGGCTCCCGGGCGGCTCGGCGGCAGGGCGGCTCGGGTCCCGGGCGGCTCGGCGTCGGGCGGCTCGGCTCACGGGCGGTTCGGCTGCTGGGGCGGCTCGGCCAGGAGATCCAGGGGCGGGGCCGTGAGGTGCAGCAGCGGGTTGACCGGTGCAGTGGCGGGCCGGCAGGTGCAGCGGCGGGCCGGCAGGTGCAGCGGCGGGCCGGCAGGTGCAGCGGCGGGCCGGCAGGTGCAGGCGGCGGGCCGTAGGGTGCAGCGGCGGGCCGTAGGGTGCAGTGGCGGGCCGGCAGGTGCAGCGGCGAGGCCGTCAGAGGCGGCGGGCCGGCAGGTGCAGTGGCGGGCCGGAAGGAGCAGCGGCGGGCCGGCAGGGGAGGCGGCGGAGCCGCGTCAGGGGAGGCGGCAGGGCCGCGTCAGGGGAGGCGGCGGAGCCGCGTCAGGGGAGGCGGCGGTGCCGCGTCAGGGGAGGCGGCGGAGCCGCGTCAGGGGAGGCGGCGGGGCCGCGTCAGGGGAGGCGGCGGGGCCGCGTCAAACAGGCGGCGGGGCCGCGTCAGGGGAGGCGGCGGAGCCGCGTCAGGGGAGGCGGCGGGGCCGCGTCAGGGGAGGCGGCGGGGCCGCGTCAAACAGGCGGCGGGGCCGCGATCAGGAGAGGTGGCGGGGCCGCGTCTGAGGGACAGCGGGGCCGCGAGGGAAAAGGCGACCCGAGGGGTCGCTAAAAAAAAGGCGCGCCTCGGGGCGCGCTTCGGTGGGCCCTAAAAAAAACGGTCCTAAGGCAGGACCCGCTCTATACCATGTGAAGCAAGGAAAACAGGAATGAAATGACTATGGAAGATTGGGTACAAATACAACCCTAGAAACCCTGTACCCCATATGTGCTACCCCACTATAGCCTACAGAAACTATGTCATATAAATCTGACACGCCTGTGGGGGCGTGTTCGGGCGAACCTCGAACACTGTTCGTGTTCGTCGCGGGCAAATTTCAGCAGCGGCCCGAACACGAACGTGTTCGGGCGAACATCGAACACTGTTCGGCGAAAGATTTGAGCTAAAAAACAAAACCTGTTCGGTTTGCCTCGAACACGTTCCAGGCGAACCGAATAGGTGTTCGCCACCTTGCTCATCCCTAATGTATCTTAACAGTCTAATCAATAGAACTGCTGCTCTCACAACCACGGCCTCCAAGTTTCTCTCCTTGAACATTCCACTATCGTTACACTGGCTGAAACATAAAAAGGAGCTGTTATCTTAAAAGAACCGTGGGAAACACACCAATGTTAGGCTATGAGGGAGCTGGAGCTTCGGCGTGGCTCGGATAGTTGTTGAAAACAAACCAGCCGAACAGAAGAACTGGTTCAATTTGTTGAAAAAACGGCCGCAAAAAAGAAAAACGGTATAGTTTGGGTAAAAAACGAACCGAACCGCCCTGAACCGGACCGCGGTTACTTTTTGTGCTCATGCGTACTTTAATCATTTCACCTCACTATAACCTCAGTGGTGTTTATAATTTAGCATTCTTTTTCCACTCAGAGATTTTTCAAGCAACCAACTGTCTGGCAGCATTCCTGCTACCATCAGCACACTCACCCAAGTTTCTCTCCTGTGAGTTGCCCTCTTGTCTAGTGCTGTCAATTTCCTCTCACACGAGAGCTTTTCTCATGATGAGCGCGAGCTAAGAACACAAGGGGGTGACTTTGATACATACGTGTGTCCATGCAATGAAGTCATTCGTGGAGTGCACCCTTTTTCCATTGTTTTGAATGGATGGGTTGCTGTACTTCAAATGTGGTGCTCAGTTGAATTCTCCTTACTTTGGTTAGCCCCACGATCTCTCTGTTCTTCTTACTGCCCTAGTTTCATGAAACATTTTCCTTCAAAAAGCCCACCAGCAGCATCCCACTTCGCATACTGGTGCATCATCATCCTAGAGTGCTGGTCTGGTTCTTCCTTCTTGCATTCGTACGCAATGGCAGGTCCCTCGAGAGTAATCAGCTCACGGGTTCAATTCCTGTGGAGATTGGCTCTCTACTATCTCTGGCATCCCTGTAAGGCTCCTTTCTGCCACACGAGCATAAGACTGGGCTAAGCTGGCTCGTTTTTGGGCCATGGAAAGCCGGTGGGCTGACAAGCCAAGCCGGAGTCTCCACTCGACGGGCCGGGCTGACTCGGCCCGTGGCTCGTCCGTCGTAGCAAGCCTTTGATAATGTGTGATCCCTCCCCCCCAACCTACTATCTCGTCTCTCTCGAATTGGTCACCTTTTTGACCTCTACATTTCCTTCTCGTCACTGGCCCCATTCCCTTCCCTGTCGTGTCCTGCAAAGACGCCAATGAACTCATATTTTCTTTCCGTGCGTCCACCCGCCACATCATCACCACAGCTCTCACAACTCCAACTTGCTCTCAGGATCTTTGCCCTCTACAATCACAAAGCTCACTGCTCTTACTTTCCTGTAAATAATCCATTGTATTGTTTTTCTTTGTCAGAAACCTTTGCAGAGTGTGCAACAAAAGCTATTGTAGTAGCACAAGTTAGGTACAATCAAGGGCTGAGCCAGGGCAGGGCTGGCACAAATCAAGGTGGGCAGCTTTCCAAAGACAGTGATTCTCTGTGTTTGAACCACATCGTTTTATTCCATTTATGTGCTCAAACATTCGTTCACAGAACAGTTAAGCCTTGGAAAGTCTGTTTACAGCATTTGTGATTCAGGCCAAACTCGGGCAACCCTGTGACGAACCGCCCATGGCTGATTGGGACCCCACCTGGCCATCAGGCTGGTGAGGTTCAAAATGGGCCAACCCGATTGATCCTTCCTCATGTCCAGTCTCATGCTAATAATCACCGTCCCACCTTCCTTCTCACCAATTTGTCCATCGCCCTTGCACGCCTCCCACGTGTCCCTCGTCTCCCTGTCTCGGACAGCTCCCTCGCTAACAACCGGCTCACCAGCTCCATCCGCGCTGGCATTGGCTTGCTGACAAAGCTGGTAGCCATGTAAGGATCCATTGTAGGTGCTTCGCCCACATTCCTAGGCATGAGCAATAACCGAACCAAAACCACTTGCGCACCAGATGGGGGTGGAGAGTTTCAGAACCGCGCTCTTCAAGCCTTCAAGTCTTAAGGCACACGACACGGATTTTGCTCATGCCTTGATTGAACACCCTGATTGGGACAGGTCGCTGGTCTCCAACCAGCTCAACGGCTCCATTCCGGCAGACATTGGCGCCCTCACCAAGTTGACAATTATGTAAGAAGATACGCTTTTGTTGTTCTTCTCACATCTCCTGTGCTCTCCCAGGACTCTTTCCCCCCCTTTTCAGTATAGCACGACCTCTTTTATCTCCCTCAGTTCTCCCCTATATCCCTTCACTTCCCTCTTTCGATTGTTCACTTCCTTTTCCCTTCATTGAGATCTTCTCTTCTTTCTTGTGATCAAATTCTCACAATATATTTTCTGCAAGTGGATGTCGTAATATCATAATTCCAATATTCGTGTTGCCTCACATTCTTCTAGCATTTTGCCTCGTCTCGTCTTCTCCAAAGGACGACCATCTTCATATGCTAATCACCCTTTGTATGGTCTTACCCAACCTCATTGCTGTCCTCCCTCGCTTCAGTCTGGTCTTCTCTTGTATGCTACAACGTCACTATAACCCCAGTGGTATTTTATAATCTGGCTTCATTTCAGAGCCGTTTCAAGCAACCAGTTGTCTGGCAGCATTCCTGCTGCCATCAGCACACTCGCCCAACTTCTTTGCCTGTAAGTGACTCTCTACTCTAGTCTAGTGCTGTCAGTTTCCTCTCACAGGGGAGCTTCTTTTTTATGTTAAGCGTGAGCTAACAACATTAGGGGCGTACATGCATGCATTACAGTCTTTTGCGAAGCACCCATTTAGATCCCATGATCAGAGTTGTGACTGGATGGGGTGTGGTGAAAAGTGTCAGATAAAATCTTCCTGGTGTAGTAGCCTCATTCTATTTCCCATCACAATATCACTGGTTTCTAGTTACTCCCCTACTTTCATACATACACCAAATCCCGCGAGACTATCATCAGCCTTCTTCTCATCCTAGTGCTTGATCGGATCAACACGATTTGGTTCTGTGCAGTTTGGTTTGTTTTTTTCTGAATTGAGCCATTGTCCTTGAGCCACAAGTTTAGTACGGACCAGTTTGGGTGTGAATATAACCTTGAAACCAGAGAGTGTTGTAGCTTTATTTCAAGCTCTAATTTTCTCATAGTCTACGATGCCCCCTTCCACCTAGTCATGACCATGTGGCCCGGCCTGACCCGACCCGACCCGACTTGGCTGGGCCAGATGGGTTCCCGGGTCGGGCCAGCTTCGAGCCAAGCTTGTGGAGGGTCTGACCCGACCCGAGTTTTGAAATTCGGGTCAGAACTGACACGACCCCGGGTCGGGTCGGGTCGGACCAGGCTGACCCGCCCTGTTACGGGGTACGGGTGTGTATTAGCTGTAGTGAAAAGTGCTGTGCATGCGGCGCCCGTCAATCAGTACGAATTGGTACTAGTTTATGTGCTGGGCCCACTTATGAACGGTGGTTGTTTTAAGACATGGCGCGTGCAGCCTCGAAGGTGAAATCGCACTAGTAAAACGTGAACTCGTGAGTATACTATCCCACCAGTGCGGTCTCCTTTAATAGCAGAGTAACATCTTCATAGTAAATAGAAATGTCGGAAAACATGGTTCTGTAGGCTTTAAAATAGCTACTAACTTAGCTTAGGTAACATTAGTGGCTGAAGTTTGGCTACTTTGGCGTGGCGCGTGCTCATGTTCTGATGACCGTTCAATCCTCGACATCAAATTTATGTAGGGTTTCGAACCCTACAGAGTTGGCCCGGCCCGAATTCCCCGACCAAGACCCGATATCGGGTCGGGTCAATCCTGGCTCGAAACCCGTCCCGACTCAGCCCAAGTTCTGATGTCGAGGGACTTCTTAATCCTCGTCATCAAATTTGTCTAGGGTTTCGAACCCTACAGAGTTGAAATCGGGTTGGGTCAATCCTGGCCCAAAACCCGGCCCTGACTCGGCCCAAGTTCTGTACTTGGGTCGGGTTTTAGCTCGGGTCCGGTCGGGCCAACCCACGCGGGGCACATTTCTGAAATCCCTGACCCGACCAGCCCTAAACCACAGGTCGGGTTGGTTAGGTTTTCCCAACTTCCTTGCTCAAATGTATCTTAACAGTCTAATCAATAGAACTGCTGCTCTCACAACCACGGCCTCCAAGTTTCTCTCTTTGAACATTTCACTATCGTTACACTGGCTGAAACATAAAGAGGAGCTGTTATCTAGAAAGAACCGTGGGAAACACACCAATGTTAGGCTATGAGGGAGCTGGAGCTTCGGCGTGGCTCGGATAGTTGTTGAAAACAAACCGGCCGAACAGAAGAACTGGTTCAATTTGTTGAAAAAAAAAATAACGGCCGCAAAAAAGAAAAACGGTATAGTTTGGGTAAAAAGCGAAGGGAACCGCCCTGAACCGAACCGCGGTTATATTTTGTGCTCATGCGTACTTTTATCATTTCACCTCACTATAACAACCTCAGTGGTGTTTATAATTTGGCATTCTTTTTCCACTCACAGATTTTTCAAGCAACCAACTGACTGGCAGCATTCCTGCTACCATCAGCACACTCACCCAAGTTTCTTGCCTTTCAGTTGCCCTCTTGTCTAGTGCTGTCAGTTCCTCTAGGGATGAGCAAGGTGGCGAACACCTGTTCGGTTCACCTCGAACACGTTCAAGGCGAACCGAACAGGTTTTGTTTTTTAGCTCAAATCGTTCGCCGAACAGTGTTCGATGTTCGCCCGAACACGTTCGTGTTCGGGCCGCTGCTGAAATTTGCCCGTGACGAACACGAACAGTGTTCGAGGTTCGCTCGAACACGCCTCCACAGGCGAACAGCGAACACCTGTTTTTTCCTAAACTGTTCGCCAAACCGAACAGTGTTCGGTTCGGCAAAAGAGGGTGTTCGACAAGGGGCGAAGACGAACATGTTCGTGTTCGCCCTTTGCTCATCCCTACGTGTGTCCATGCAATGAAGTCATTCGTGGAGTGCCCCCTTTTTCCATTGTTTTGAATGGATGGGTTGCTGTACTTCAAATGTGGTGCTCAGTTGAATTCTCCTTACTTTGGTTAGCCCCACGATCTCTCTGTTCTTCTTACTGCCCTAGTTTCATGAAACATTTTCCTTCAAAAAGCCCACCAGCAGCATCCCACTTCGCATACTGGTGCATCATCATCCTAGAGTGCTGGTCTGGTTCTTCCTTCTTGCATTCGTACGCAATGGCAGGTCCCTCGGGAGTAATCAGCTCACGGGTTCAATTCCTGTGGAGATTGGCTCTCTACTATCTCTGGCATCCCTGTAAGGCTCCTTTCTGCCACACGAGCATAAGACTGGGCTAAGCTGGCTCGTTTTTGGCTAAGTGGCAAAACACGCGTATTGCGTATATACGCGTGTTGTCTATACGCACGCGTTTATACGCTATACGCAAAGGTCCCGAGACCCTAGATACGCTATTTCGGGCAGGTTAAAAGAACATCGGGCAGCTAAAATAAGACCCCCCTGCAAAACTACTGGGGTAAGTTTCCACGGGGGTTGGATTTCCCGGTTTTTTTTTCCCGATTTTTTTTTTTCACCAACAACATTACAATGACAACTACTCATCCCATACTAGGACTGAACAGGACTGTCCGTGCCGGTATTAGGAGGGGGAGTGGACGGGGTCGGTCTAACATCTGCAGAAGACATTCTAAAAAGGTCTGTGAAGGTAAATGGGAGGATGCATTGATGAGAGAGAACAATACCTGATTGTTAAGTAGCGTGGGATGGAGTGGTGGGGAGAAGTTGAATTGGAGGGAGTTTGTAGGTCGAGAGCGGTACAAATTGGTCGAACTCCAATGTGGAATGTCAAGGACATCGCGACTCCAAGCTAGGGATGAGCAAGGTGGCGAACACCTGTTCGGTTCGCCTCGAAAGTGTTCGAGGCGAACCGAACAGGTTTTGTTTTTTAGCTCAAATCGTTCGCCGAACAGTGTTCGATGTTCGCCCGAACACGTTTGTGTTCGGGCCGCTGCTGAAATTTGCCCGCGACGAACACGAACAGTGTTCCCTCCCCCCCAACCTACTATCTCGTCTCTCTCGAATTGGTCACCTTTTTGACCTCTACATTTCCTTCTCGTCACTGGCCCCATTCCCTTCCCTTTCGTGTCCTGCAAAGACGCCAATGAACTCATATTTTCTTTCCGTGCGTCCACCCGCCACATCATCACCACAGCTCTCACAACTCCAACTTGCTCTCAGGATCTTTGCCCTCTGCAATCACAAAGCTCACTGCTCTTACTTTCCTGTAAATAATCCATTGTATTGTTTTTCTTTGTCAGAAACCTTTGCAGAGTGTGCAACAAAAGCTATTGTAGTAGCACAAGTTAGGTACAACCAAGGGCTGAGCCAGGGCAGGGCTGGCACAAATCAAGGTGGGCAGCTTTCCAAAGACAGTGATTCTCTGTGTTTGAACCACATCGTTTTATTCCATTTATGTGCTCAAACATTCGTTCACAGAACAGTTAAGCCTTGGAAAGTCTGTTTACAGCATTTGTGATTCAGGCCAAACTCGGGCAACCCTGTGACGAACCGCCCATGGCTGATTGGGACCCCACCTGGCCATCAGGCTGGTGAGGTTCAAAATGGGCCAACCCGATTGATCCTTCCTCATGTCCAGTCTCATGCTAATAATCACCGTCCCACCTTCCTTCTCACCAATTTGTCCATCGCCCTTGCACGCCTCCCACGTGTCCCTCGTCTCCCTGTCTCAGACAGCTCCCTCGCTAACAACCGGCTCACCAGCTCCATCCCCGCTGGCATTGGCTTGCTGACAAAGCTGGTAGCCATGTAAGGATCCATTGTAGGTGCTTCGCCCACATTCCTAGGCATGAGCAATAACCGAACCAAAACCACTTGCGCACCAGATGGGGGTGGAGAGTTTCAGAACCGCGCTCTTCAAGCCTTCAAGTCTTAAGGCACACGACACGGATTTTGCTCATGCCTTGATTGAACACCCTGATTGGGACAGGTCGCTGGTCTCCAACCAGCTCAACGGCTCCATTCCGGCAGACATTGGCGCCCTCACCAAGTTGACAATTATGTAAGAAGATACGCTTTTGTTGTTCTTCTCACATCTCCTGTGCTCTCCCAGGACTCTTTCCCCCCCTTTTCAGTATAGCACGACCTCTTTTATCTCCCTCAGTTCTCCCCTATATCCCTTCACTTCCCTGTTTCGATTGTTCACTTCCTTTTCCCTTCATTGAGATCTTCTCTTCTTTCTTGTGATCAAATTCTCACAATATATTTTCTGCAAGTGGATGTCGTAATATCATAATTCCAATATTCGTGTTGCCTCACATTCTTCTAGCATTTTGCCTCGTCTCGTCTTCTCCAAAGGACGACCATCTTCATATGCTAATCACCCTTTGTATGGTCCTCATCCCTGTCCTCCCTCGCTTCAGTCTGGTCTTCTCTTGTATGCTACAACGTCACTGTAACCCCAGTGGTATTTTATAATCTGGCTTCATTTCAGAGCCATTTCAAGCAACCAGTTGTCTGGCAGCATTCCTGCTGCCATCAGCACACTCGCCCAACTTCTTTGCCTGTTAGTGACTCTCTACTCTAGTCTAGTGCTGTCAGTTTCCTCTCACGGGGGAGCTTCTTTTTTATGTTAAGCGTGAGCTAACAACATTAGGGGCGTACATGCATGCATTAAAGTCTTTTGCGAAGCACCCATTTAGATCCCATGATCAGAGTTGTGACTGGATGGGGTGTGGTGAAAAGTGTCAGATAAAATCTTCCTGGTGTAGTAGCCCCATTCTATTTCCCATCACAATATCACTGGTTTTTACTTACTCCCCTACTTTCATACATACACCAAATCCCGCGAGACTATCATCAGCCTTCTTCTCATCCTAGTGCTTGATCGGATCAACACGATTTGGTTCTGTGCAGTTTGGTTTGTTTTTTTCTGAATTGAGCCATCGTCCTTGAGCCACAAGTTTAGTACGGACCAGTTTGGGTGTGAATATAACCTTGAAACCAGAGAGTGTTGTAGCTTTATTTCAAGCTCTAATTTTCTCATAGTCTACGATGCCCCCTTCCACCTAGTCATGACCATGTGACCCGGCCTGACCCGACCCGACCCGACTTGGCTGGGCCAGATGGGTTCCCGGGTCGGGCCAGCTTCGAGCCAAGCTTGTGGAGGGTCTGACCCGACCCGAGTTTTGAAATTCGGGTCAGAACTGACACGACCCCGGGTCGGGTCGGGTCGGACCAGGCTGACCCGCCCTGTTACGGGGTACGGGTGTGTATTAGCTGTAGTGAAAAGTGCTGTGCATGCGGCGCCCGTCAATCAGTACGAATTGGTACTAGTTTATGTGCTGGGCCCACTTATGAACGGTGGTTGTTTTAAGACATGGCGCGTGCAGCCTCGAAGGTGAAATCGCACTAGTAAAACGTGAACTCGTGAGTATACTATCCCACCAGTGCGGTCTCCTTTAATAGCAGAGTAACATCTTCATAGTAAATAGAAATGTCGGAAAACATGGTTCTGTAGGCTTTAAAATAGCTACTAACTTAGCTTAGGTAACATTAGTGGCTGAAGTTTGGCTACTTTGGCGTGGCGCGTGCTCATGTTCTGATGACCGTTCAATCCTCGACATCAAATTTATGTAGGGTTTCGAACCCTACAGAGTTGGCCCGGCCCGAATTCCCCGACCAAGACCCGATATCGGGTCGGGTCAATCCTGGCTCGAAACCCGTCCCGACTCAGCCCAAGTTCTAATGTCGAGGGACTTCTTAATCCTCGTCATCAAATTTGTCTAGGGTTTCGAACCCTACAGAGTTGAAATCGGGTTGGGTCAATCCTGGCCCAAAACCCGGCCTTGACTCGGCCCAAGTTCTGTACTTGGGTCGGGTTTTAGCTCGGGTCCGGTCGGGCCAACCCACGCGGGGCACATTTCTGAAATCCCTGACCCGACCAGCCCTAAACCACAGGTCGGGTTGGTTAGGTTTTCCCAACTTCCTTGCTCAAATGTATCTTAACAGTCTAATCAATAGAACTGCTGCTCTCACAACCACGGCCTCCAAGTTTCTCTCTTTGAACATTTCACTATTGTTACACTGGCTGAAACATAAAGAGGAGCTGTTATCTAGAAAGAACCGTGGGAAACACACCAATGTTAGGCTATGAGGGAGCTGGAGCTTCGGCGTGGCTCGGATAGTTGTTGAAAACAAACCGGCCGAACAGAAGAACTGGTTCAATTTGTTGAAGAAAAAAATAACGGCCGCAAAAAAGAAAAACGGTATAGTTTGGGTGAAAAACGAACTGAACCGCCCTGAACCGAACCGCGGTAATTTGTTGTGCTCATGCGTACTTTTATCATTTCACCTCACTATAACCTCAGTGGTGTTTATAATTTGGCATTCTTTTTCCACTCAGAGATTTTTCAAGCAACCAACTATCTGGCAGCATTCCTGCTACCATCAGCACACTCACCCAAGTTTCTCATCTGTCAGTTGCCCTCTTGTCTAGTGCTGTCAATTTCCTCTCACACGAGAGCTTTTCTCATGATGAGTGCGAGCTAAGAACACAAGGGGGTGACTTTGATACATACGTGTGTCCATGCAATGAAGTCATTCGTGGAGTGCACCCTTTTTCCATTGTTTTGAATGGATGGGTTGCTGTACTTCAAATGTGGTGCTCAGTTGAATTCTCCTTACTTTGGTTAGCCCCACGATCTCTCTGTTCTTCTTCCTGCCCTAGTTTCATGAAACATTTTCCTTCAAAAAGCCCACCAGCAGCATCCCACTTCGCATACTGGTGCATCATCATCCTAGAGTGCTGGTCTATAACATTGAACACTACCCAGTACCACTTAAGAGTCAATCCAGTCAATAGAAAAGCACATGAATGCCCGTGGTTGCTGTGCCAGTGCCCTGTATACCCATCTTCACATTCCTCGGATTGCTTCCTCGTTTCTCTCTTCCTCATATCTCGGATTTCTCTCTTCCCTGGTCTCAATCAACCAACCATCCTCGTACGCCTCTTCTTCCTCTCCCTCTTCTGTATCCTTCTCTTCCACCTCACCTTCCCCTTCTGCTCCCCTTCTCGTTGACTCCTTATTCTTCTCCTCCGCCAGCCCGTGTCTATCCCCTTCTGCTCCCCCATCCGTATACCCATTCTTCTCAACAACCCCTCACATCTTCGCTCAGTGCACTCCACTTTTTTCTATCCAGGTGCAGTGAGGTGATCCCCACCCATCCTTCTTCCGCCACTTGCACCTCCTTCCTGCAGAGACCTCTCTCACAACTACCTCACAAGCCGCGCAGTGAAGCTCCTTGCTGCGCGAACCCTATATCTCTCCAGCAACTTCCTCTCGGGCCCTCTGCCCGACGGGGCATGCCAGCCTCACTCTTTTGATGCCAACTGCTTCACGTTGCCGCTTGGCTGTGCCTTGGTGCCCCAGCGACAGGAGGCAGCATGCAATGCATTATGTGGCGTCTCCTCTGCTGCTGGTGCTGCTGCTGCTGCTGCGTGTGGAGGACATGGGGTGTGCTATCCAGAGGGGGCTAGCTTGGCACCCACATGTCTGTGTGATGCGGGATTCGTGCAATTTGGGAATTGCCCCCAATCCCCTGCCCATCTGTTCCCACCCATTTTCTAATGTACTTAGAATTCTTGAGCTCCTTTATTAAATCAATCAAGTCTCGCTCAAGTTCTTACTCATATCCCACTTCTGTCCATCCGTCTGGTATGTTTGTGCAGGCCAGAACAAAAACTACTCAAGCAGTCAAGCGGTTCTCCCACCAGCATCTATACTCACCAGGGGGGGGCAGCGCGAGACGAAGGGGAACTTCACCGCAGAGCCGGTGAAGTTGTTTGTGTACGAGGCAAACCAGGGACTGTCGCGGTGTGGGCTGCAGCTCGCCTTTCACGCCAACTTTACCTTCTCCCTCTTGCCTCGATCTGGCCACGTGGGCTTCAACGGCTTAGCGTTTGTCATCTCAGCAACGGACCAGGTGGGGAGTGGCGCTGGGGTGGGGTATGGTGGAATGGACACACGGAGCATGGCGGTGGAGTTTGACACTCTGCAGAACAAGGAGCATGGCGACATGAGCAGCCACCATGTCGGGCTGAACGTTCGAGGCGAAGACAGATCGCTAGTCGCTGTGAGGTCACCCTTCCGTCTGAGCAACAGGAAGGCGTACACGGCGTGGGTGGACTATGAGCCAGGAGACCCCGGCACCATCCAGGTCTTCCTGGCTGACTCGCAGGAGAAGCCGCAGCAAGCGGTGCTGGAGTGGAGGCTGGCGCTGTGTGAGGTGCTGCAGGGTGCAGTTGATCAGCCCGCCTTCTTCTTTGGCTTCGTAGCGTCCACCACTGTGAAGCCGTTTCAGCGGCACGTCATTCTTGAATCGACAGTGGATACAGGTAAGCAGTGTGTGCTTTCAGGTGGATGGGCTTGGCATGGTGGTTAACAACATGGGAGGTCCAGTCCGAAGGATGTAAAGGAGGTGGCAACGAGACTGAGGGAGTGGATGGTGATGTAAGGAATTGTGACGATGGGGGTAGTGCTGGTGAAGATGAGGTTAGCTCTGGCGCTGATGAGGTTACCGATGGAGGTCAATTTGAAAGTGACTGCAATTTGATATGAGTCACACATTTTCTGAATCTTACATGGTGTCTTCTATCTTCGCTCTGATTGCTTTGTCTTTGTGCAGGCCTTCCTGCTTCTCCCCGAACAGTCACACGTAATCCAGGTGAGACATCGTCTCCCATGCTTCTGTTGCGACTCTCGCAACTACCTCCGTTAGAAGGACAAAAGAGGCAAGCATTGTGACAGTGTGATGTTGGTGTTAGGCCCCAATCTCACATTTTGTACTTGTACTTTTATATCCTAGTTTAGTGTAGTTTGCACTTTGTGTTTGGTTGGGTGTACACCCACATCCCAACCAAACCCAAATGTAATCTCCAAGCAATCTCCAACCCACCAATTGGAGATTGCCTTGGGATTACCCTTGATTCCCTAGGATTGCCTCCTGATTCCCTCCTCATCCCTACCTTGCTCATTCCGGATGTACTAAAAGAGCTTTGAGCTCACTACTATAGTATCGATTCTAAGCTCAAGTTCTGACATGGTATCAGAGCAGCTCAACCGCATACGCGGATCGTGATCCTCTCATCTCTGCGGATACTTGTCCCGCAAACCTCGGGGAAGCCATCGCCAATCTCGTCGCCGTTGATTCGCGACATTCATCGGCGGAATTCCTCCCGCCACATCTTCCCGTCACCATCGACGGAAACTTCTCTGGTAAGCGCATCGTCGGCGCTCTAACCTAACACTCGTTTTCATCAATTCGTCACTCTCGTCACTTCTTCTCCTCGTCGGGCTGCCGCCCGTCGCCCTGCAGCTTCTCGTCGGGCCGCCGCTCGTCGCCCTGCAGCTTCTCTTCGGGCTGCCGCCCGTCGCTCTGCTGCTTCTCGTCGGGCCGCCGCCCGTCGCCCCGCAGCGTCACCTTCGGGCTGCCGCCCGTCGCCCCGCATCTGCACTCCTACCCCCATCCCCCCTCTTTCCCGCAGATGAACAGGTGCAGCAACGCAGCCGAGCAGCAGCGTAGCCGCGAAGCTGAGCAGCCGTGTAGCCGCGAAGCCGAGCAGCAGCGTAGCCGCGAAGCTGAGGGTGGTGTGTGGGGGGGTGTGTGGGAATAGGATTAGTAGGTAGTTGACACTAAATTGGCGTCTCAGTCAAATTCTCCTTCAGAAACCCTAAACCTCAATATTCTCTTTCGTAAACCCTAAACCTCCGGTTCTTCAAAATCTCCTTTGGAAACCCCAAACCTCAAGTTCCTATCGGTGACTTAAGAGCGGCGCTCCGCGCGAGAAGTTAAGGGGTCTCCACCATGGCTTTCTCGTCTTCCACCATGGCGAACCCCATCACCCCGCTCCGCCTTGAAGCCGATGGCTCTAGCTCCAACTTCAAGGCGTGGAGCTACGGAGTTGACAAGCACCTCCTGAGCCGTGACGTGCAGGGCCTTGACCTCAAGGACGTCCTCCTCAACCGTGGCAAGGGGAAACAGCCCACTCTTCCCCGTGAACCGACCGAATCTTCAAGTGATGCTGACGTGATGGCGTACGAAGAAGCTGTTGAGAAGTACCGGAAGTGGGAGAAGGCCGATGCTGCCATCATCAGCGTCTTCATTGCCTCCACCCCTCCCGAACTTGTCAACACGTTCCACAACTACCCTACCTCCAACGCCATCTGGAAGTATCTCCAGGATCGGTTCATGAACAAGACGGCGGTCGGAGTGGCGATTCTCATCCCCAGCATGTTTCAAGTCCGTCTTGAGGACTGCTCAGGAATGGCTGACTACATCGCCAAGGTGCAGACCATTCATGGTGAACTCAAGGAGCTGGGTATAGTCTTCCCCGAACAAGCCCCTGCAGCCGCCCTTCTTGTTGGTCTCTCCTCGGCATATGAAGTCACGAGGAAGATGCTCCTCACGCTCTCAGCGGAAGACCTCACCTTTGCTAAGGTCTCCACCGCACTCCTCTCTGCCGAGAAAGACTCCATGGCTCAGGCCAAGGCATACGCCATCCGTGCTCCCATGCCCCCAGCAAGTGTTGCAGCGGCCCTTGCCTCGGCGCCTTTCCAGCGCAACCGCTTTCCTCCGTGCACCTACGTCGTCAAGTATGGCAACCGCAAGGGACAAGTGTGTGGTGGCACTAACCACCCCCTTGCCACGTGCTTCAAGAAGAAAGACGACGAGTGGTATGCCATCTACGGGGTTGACAAGAAGCCGCCAAACTTGATGCGCGCTCGTAAGGCCAATCTCGTTGAGGTCCAGGACCCCTCTTCGGCTAGTGCTAGTGATAGTGCTCCTGTTGATGTGCGTATCAACCTGTTGTTTCCTGGCACTGCCATGATTAATGAAGCCACTTCCCAGTACATCGACTCATGACAGGCACCACAGTACATAGAGTTCACACTCGACAGCGGGGCCACTCACACTGTGCTCAAGGAGACACTCTCCTTCAAACCCTATCCAGCACCTATCCCTCTCTTGGGAGCTGACTCCAGCTTCACCACCCTAGCCAAGGGCACCTCCACAGTCCCATGCCCAGCCTTCCCTTCCGGCACCGTCACTGGAATGTGCGTGCCTTCACTACGCCACAATCTAGTGGCTCAAACAGAAATTCAGAAAGCAGGGCTACGCACCATCTTCTCGGAGAATGAGGACCATTGCGACATCATTGACCCACTCACCAACAAGGTCTTGGCCCGCTTCACCCTCAATAGCAGCGGCCTCTACACGCTACGCGTTCCTCTCCCACAGGTTTCAACCACCCAAGCACAGGCTCCCATCACACCATGCACATGTCGTAGCCTCTCCAACCGGACCATCCTCTATCATCATCGGTTAGGGCACCCAAACTTCCGCACGCTTGCTGACATGGCCTCCAAGAAACTTCTTCTCGGCCTGCCAGCCACACTTCCTCCACCACCTGACTCACCCGCTCCCACGTGCCTTGATTGCACCAAGAGCAAACTGCGCCAACAGCCCCACACTGCCTCACCCACAATCGCAGCGGCACCACTGGACCTAGTGCACATGGACGTCTGGGGCCCTGCCCCTGTTCTTGCACGAGGTGGATATCGCTACTTCCTAGTTATCGTGGATGACCACTCACGATACGTCTCTGTTCACCTCCTCTACACTAAGGCTGAGGCTCCAGAGGTCATCATGGCGTGGGTCAAGCAGGCACAGACCACCTTTGACCGCAAGGTCAAGCGCCTTCACTCGGATGGGGGGGGTGAATTTTGCAACGACAAGCTCAAAGCCTTCTGCTCCTCCGAAGGCATCCAGCAAAACTTCACCCTCCCTGACAGCCCTCAACAGAACGGCATAGCTGAGAGCCGCAATCACACCCTAGTGCAGATCACTCAGTGCCTCCTCAGCCACTCCAACGCTCCACACTCTCTCTGGGGATACGCTCTCTACCACGCCGCCCTCCTCTACAACCTTTACCCCCATCCGCACCTTCCCGACACCACTCCAACCACACTCTGGCTCGGGAAAACGCCCACTGCTCGCTCTCTTCGCGTTTGGGGATGCACCGCCTATGTCCTCCTCAACCCTCAGGCTCGACGCCAGAACGGTGGCAAGCTCGGTCCCAAGACTCAAACGTGCATCTACCTTGGGCACAACGCCGACTCACCTGACTACCTCTTCCTCAATCCCTCCACTCAATAGTTGGTCAGGAGCCGCGACGTTGTCTTTGATGAGACCCGCCCATTCTACTCCCCTTCAGGACGGGACCCTCTCCCTGATCCACCCTCCCTCGTGTGGGCAGACTTTGACGCGCCTCCCGACCTCCCGCCTGCTCCTGCCCCCTCACCTCCTCCCTCTCCTGCCATCCCACCATCTCCCTCTGAGGTCTCTGACCCGGCCTCACCGGTGTCTTCGGCAGCTGCTCCGCCCCCCCCCTCACCTTCCTCACTTCCCGCTGCACCGCCCCCTCCGAGCGCACCTATCACCTACCATCGGCGGTCCCACCCTCCGGCCCCACCTCCTCCCCCAGTTCCCCCCACCACAGAGGAACCCGCTCTCCCACAGTCGCCCGAGCTGATCACGTACCGCCGGCGGCCCATTCCCCCACCCAAGCCTCCTAAGTCACCATCTCCGACACCGCCTGCCCCACCCTCCTCACCGGTGGCTCATGGCACCCGCTCCCATCGCGCTGCTCTTCCACTCGCAATGGTTCTTCAATACACAACGATCACACCGCCTCCTCCTGCTAGGGGGGATGTGCCCTCTACCCTTCTAGAAGACAGGCATGAGGAGCTGTGTGATCTCCATGCAGTCATTCCTCAGCTCTCACACATCTTCCCCGATATCACTGGCTCACCCTCCCTCAACCTCGCGGAGAACCCGACCATCCCTATCCCTCTCACCGTCCAAGAGGCTCTCTCAGGCCCTCATGCTGCCGAATGGCGTGCTGCCATGGACGCGGAGATTGCAGCATTCACTCGCAACCACTCCTTCGACGACGAGACTCCACCTCCAGGAGTCAACATCGTCGGGGGCAAGTGGTTGTTCCATGTAAAACAGCTCCCAGACGAGGCACCGGTGTTCAAAGCGCGTTACGTAGCCAAGGGCTTCACCCAGCAGCGGTACCGCGACTTCGACCTAATCTTCTCCCCCACATCCAAACCTCCCACCATTCGAACGCTCATGGATGTTGCAGCTCGAGAAGACTTTGAGATCAAATCCATGGATGCCTCCTCCGCCTTCCTACAAGGACGTCTCAAGGAGACAGTGTTCATGGACAGACCAGAAGGCTTCCCAGGAGAATTCCCTCCCAACACTGTCTGGAAGCTGAATCGCCCCGTCTACGGCCTTAAACAAGCCCCTCGCGAATGGCACAACAAGGTGAAAGAAGTCCTCCTCTCCCTGCACTTCCACCCTTCAACTGCTGA